AGCACACTGAAAGCGTAATATACTTTAAAAGAAATGCAAAATCAGTACGTTTTTAGACAATTTACTGAATGTTATTTGCAATTAAATTAAATTGTATTATAGTTTACATTTGCATTAAATGCAGTTAGCTGAACATTAGAGTGCTTTTTGTCCCACTTATAGGACTTAAGTACATCTTTATATATATATGAAGAGTTTGGTTCCAAAACGCGATAAACGCCATTTAAAAAAAAAAAAGTGAGTTTCCGCCAAAATCAGTATTGTATCTGGTTGGTATTGAAAAATCTTTAATTTTACGCAAAATGCGATATCCGCTGAGTTATTCTGTTATGTTTTCTCCCTTTTTTTCCAAACCGCGACAAACGCCGCCAAAAAGAATTAAACGGGTCATCGTGTTAATGCTATAAATTAATTACAACAATAAAAGAAAATTTCATCATGAACATACATGAACAACAATATCACATTAAACCACAGAAATTCCAAAATGACTTTTCTCTTACATTCAACTTCCAAAAGTGCATTCATCTGTGACATGTTACATTCATTTAGTTGACTAGTGCTATACGCTGTATTAACAAAAACATGAATGGCATAAATAAAAACACTTACACTGACAAGTTACGCAATATCGCGTTCATATTCGAATGCGACTCATCTGAGATTATGAACGCGATATTGCAGTGATCTATGGCTCTGTTTATTAAATGACGCTCCATCTGAAAGCATGTGATGGAGATTTACTACTGATCACAGAACCGGCTTTACTGACGAGATGCGCATGACAATCACATGCCATATGTGGATCCACTTACTATGTTGTGTATTTTCAACAGTTTCAATATGAAAAATATATGATATATATGATCACAAAGTACAAAATAGATGAGGAAAACTAGGATGCCGGGTGTATTTAAAGCGCCGCCATTACTGTCTAGAGTGCGTGGAAGGGTGCGCTGTGATTGGTTGTTACTGTTTATAGTGCGTGGAATGGTGCGCTGTGATTGGTTGAGCGGATATATCGCATTCTGCAGAAAAGGGAGACTGGTGTTTGTCGCGGTTTGGAAAAAAAGGGAGAAAACATGACAAAATTTAAAATTTACTTTTCAATACCGACCAGATACAATACTGTTTTTGGCGGAAACTCAATTTTTTTCAAAAATGGCATTTATCGCGTTTTGGAACCAAACTCATACTTATATAAATAAATATGTCTGCTTGAAAGAATGAAGAATATGGTAAACAAGTTGCTAAAAAGAATGCATAATTAGTCTATATAACCATTGGCATTGGTTCTTTATGAGAAGTGGTTTTATTTAATTTTAACATAAAGGCATGTTGTGTCACCGCAGTTAAATTGGTGTCTATCATGATAAAACCTTAATATCAAACCTACAGTATATAATGAGTTTGGACATTTTAGAGAAATGCTTAATAAATGCACTGTAACTAAACCCATTAGATTTTAGCCGACTAAATTTACTGTAGATTTAGTCGACTACAATCTTATGATATTTAGTCGACTAAAACTAAAAACAATTCAGATGACTAAAATATGACTAAAACTAAATGGCATTTTAGTCAAAAGACTATGACTAAAACTAAATCAAAATTTGCTGTCAAAATTAACACTGCTTTAGTATGTTAGTCAGCACATTAAAAGGTCTTTCTTTAGAACACAACACAAGATTATAAAACATGGGTTTAATGTACATTAAAGTAAAACTTTTAATTGGCATTATATCAAAGCACGCTTTTTAAAATGCTGGATCTGTTGACGTGGTTTAGTAGTAATTGTCAGACAATAATGTCTCAATAAATAGGTTAATGTTGGCATCCATGTTTCTGTTTTATAGCAAGTTCAAAATGTTGTGGTTACTACTTTGCCAGTCATTGCAATTTTTGGAGTAACTCAAAATGATAATTTAGCTGATTCACTCCTATATATAAATGTGGTCGCCACTCCTAAACGATGTACGTGTTCTATGTGTGTATGGTCTTTTTTTCTTGTGTATGTATCTGTTTATGTATGGGAGTGGATTGTGCACACATCTGAGGTTTGACTATTATCATTTTATAAAAGTAATACACCTCCCATGGCTTAATGTTACAATGATTTTAAAACAATTACACACTAAATATTGCATTAAATCAAGCAATATTTGCTTTTCCCTCTCTCTTTTTCCTCTACAGTCTATTGCTGTGCACCTGTCTCCCTGCGCTCTGGACGCCGGTGAACTGACGTCCATCCTTTCTCCACCTTTTCCTCCTTTTATTCACCTTCCTCTGCTTGATGGGTTTCTATTCACTTGCTTCTGTCTTCCACACTGTTCTCGTTGCTCTCGCTATGCTCAGTTTCCTAAAGCTTAAAGCAAGCCAATAACTTTTTTATTTCTATGTAAATATACACCGTTTTCTTTTGCATTTGATTAGCTTGAGAAGTCAGATGAAGGAATGGAACCATACAGCATGGTCAGAGTTACGTAGGCATCAGTCCTGGAGCGCTGCTCTTTATTTACATTTGTTTAAGGAGCTTAAACTGGTGTTTGGAAATGGTTTGAGGGATATTAAAGCATGTGATGTAATGTTCACAAGTCAATGACAGTTTCCAAACCTCATGCGCACAGGTTTTGTTTTAAGCTGTTGCATGCTGGTTTCTCCAGAAGGGAAAAGTATGTGCTGTTTTGTTTAAGACATTACATATACCACCATGTTTATAATTGTATTTATAGGTAGGAAAACCACAGATTTATGAAGGGAAACAAGAACACAATTAAGAAAGAATGTCTTTGTTTACACTCAGCTTTTAATTAGCATGAATGAAGTGCTAAATGCTGTTTTAATGATTGTATTTGCCCCCAAGAGCAAGCAAAACTTTTTCAGATTTTGTGCATTTTATGTTTGTCTTCAAGGGTCTGTGTGACTTATTCTTATTAAATGATTTGAGATGTGTCTGCCCTTCTAGGGTTTTTTTTTTTTTAATTCAGGTTACAATTAGCATCTCTTGTGATTTCAGCTGTGAGGTGATTACATTACACTTGCAGTAGAGGATGTTATCCCATTTCAGACAGGATTATTTAGGAGGTTTATAGCATTACATGATGCATGCTATGCATCATCTGTGAAGATTAATAGGGAGCTGCCTTAACTCAACAATAAGAGTAATTCTTTAAGATTTTTAAGATTTGTTTTTTTTAACAGTGCGAGTCCTCACTGCTTGACATTACATAACTACAGTTTATAATAAGCCACTACTTTACCACTATGTGCTATTAATGTCTTAGGAATTTTTAATAAAGTGCTACTTATGGCTCCTGTTGCAAGAATGCATCCAATGTCAGATTGTGCTGGAAATAAACCAAAGATTGAGTTCAGAGGAACACTACTATTGTGCAATGATTTGTCACCTGGGAAGATCTACTTGTGTGGTTTGCCACAAAGTAAGGTGGTTTGTTTCATTTTGCATGTTGGTCTGTTGATGAGATCTTTGCATGGGTGTGTATGTAATCATGATGTCAACAATATCAGACTTAGTAGTGTGGCTCTGATTTCAGGAAAATGTCTCATTTTTGGATGTGACACTGTTTGTTTACTCATGACACAAAATGTCATGTGCCACTAATCGATAGTGAGTGTGTGCATGCATGCACATAAACTCTCTCTGTGGTTGTAGCTGGCATATACATGAGCTCTGCTGGGAAAGGGTTGGGAAACAGCTTGTGAGTCACAATGAATCCAGGAACAGGCCTCTCGTCAACTTAACTACCAAACCTGAACACACACACATTCACTCACAACACACCCAGAGTTCATCCCGAGGTTCCTCCATTAAATCCTCCTTCATCACTTCTGTCTGAATTGAATAACCTGAAAAGGGCAGTTGCATTTATTGTAATAGCAGATGATTATGTGAGAGATTTTAGGGTTTAGAGAATGAGAGAGAAAGGCATGATGGAACAGCAGAAAAAGAGAGCAGTTTGAAGAATAGGCACAGGCTGTTACTCAAGAACAAAGTGAGTTATGTTTGTCTTTAATTCATGACCCTCATTCCATTTGATCTTATTCACCATCTCATTTTTTCATATACAAGAAACACAAAAATACAGATCAGATTTGTTTAGGCCTAAAAAGAGCAGATTTTGGCTTTGTGTTTGTCTTTCCAAAACTTTTAGGTGCTAAGTGGTTCTCCCCTAGATATAATTTGAGATCCTTCAAGGATGTTTTTTTCTCTCTCCCTGGGCTCATAAGTGAGGTTTTTAAGAGCCATTTGCAATCATTTCTTAAAGCCATGGCATACTGTGCAACATCAGCTGTGTTTTTTCATAAGGCTGTACGAAACAAATTGTAGACATTACTTGGGTCCCAATCATCCCATTGACAGCTTGTAGGAGCATTTAATTGGCTGATGGTAACACTCCTAGAGATCAGAGAGTTTGCCTTTTAACAAGAGAAATCTTTCACAATCCTTAAAATCTATTTCAGGGGTCCAAAATTGTATAATGACACCATAACAGTAGGTTTTTTTTTAGAAGTAACAAATCAAACACTGGACTGCAGCATGATTGCAATAATTTTGATAATAAATAGTGATTGACTGTCTGGAATATTTTGTGTGTGTCTGTAGCTTTATCATCTTTTTCCTTTTATCCTTTTCTTTCCACATGCTTGCTTTAACAGAGTATGTGTACCGGCACGTATTGCACTAATTCTGTTATTTTGGTTCTGGTGAATTGATGAAGCATGTTGTGTAATTGACCCAATCTAAAATGCTGACCCATTATAGCAGGATTCCTCAAATCTGGCCCTGGAGGGCCACTGCCCTGCAGAGCTTACCTCAAACCATGATCAAACTCACCTGCCTGTAAATTTCTAGTATCTCTGAATTGATTAGCTTGCACAGGTGTCTTAAATCTGCAGGGCAGAGCCCCTCAAGGACTGGATTTTTAGTTATTCTGCATTTTATGGCATAAATTACATTGACATTTTATCTTTATTTTCAGCCTGGCTGCATTCAGCACATGAGTCTGTGTCAGAGAAGATGGCAGAACAGGAAGTGGAAACAGCATCTGTCGCCAGCAGTGAGAGTTTTGCAGACCAGGGCTACGCAGCATCAGAGGGCATGGCTGAGGAGTCCGTCCCAGTCTCTCCCTCCAAAAGGATGCAATCTGTGTCACCCATGTCTTTAAACAGTAGCTCAGCTCTGCCTGGTAACCAGTCCAAAGACTCTTCCAGTGACAGTGATGAGGGTTGTGCAACCTGGGGCTCCAGACAAAGGTATGCACATGTACACATGTTTACTAACACATGTCACACTAACATGAATGTTCAACACAAAAATTTGGTTTTATTTTGAATTTTCACTCACTAGATTGCACTTTGGCCGCTCTAGTATACCGAATATACCACAACATTCATTGTGTATCTGACCTCCCTCAATGTCTTCAGGGGTGTGCTGAAACACTTCCTCCCACAACTGAGGGGCTAACATGTATTGGTCAGCATGGATAAAACTATGGTAGTTTCTTACATCAATTACCAGGGTGGGCTGTGTTCGCGCCACGTTTTCAGGGAGGCACAGCAGATTCTGCTTTGAGCAAAAATCAAATTGGTCTCCCTGAGGGCATTTTATATTCTGGGGCATGAAAACTTGGGAGCAGACATCCTTTCGAGGCAGGTGCTGAGGGAATGACGATCCCACCCACAGGTCATGAAGTGAAGAGTGAGGAGGTAGCGGATGTGAATTTACTTGCCTCTGAGGAGTAAACAAACTGTCCCCTCTGGCTCCATTGGAGCTGGACACCATGGTACAGACATGGCAGAGGCTTCGTCTGTATGTCTTTCCTCCGATAGCTCTGCTCCCGGGAATTCTAGGGAGGACTTGCCAAGACTGAGCCTACATATTATTAGTGGCTTCATTCTGGCCAGCCCGAGTCTGTTTCTCAGATCTAGTGTCTCTCCTGGACAGCACTCTTTGGGAGATTGCTGTCCAGAGAGACTTTTCTGTCACAAGTGCTGGGGTCAATCTGGAAGCGTGCCGGAGATCTGGAAGCATTGAGTCTGGTCCCTGAGGGGAACCAGCTTATAGATTCCGGTTTCTCAACTGAGGTTGTTGAGATAATTCTGAGTTCCAGAGCTCCAGACCTATATATCCAGCACGGATGGATCTCTAACCGCTGCAATAGCAAAAAAAACCCTTGATATTTTAAGAACAATTACAGAAGAATAAAATAAAGCATATTTCGTTACCTTTTGAAACTTAAAAGGGTTCAATTTGAGCAGATGATTTTACCATCGCTGTCATCGTCAGAGCGCACTTCCACAGTATATTCAACATCTGCCTCACATTCACAATCTCAACCTATTCTCAAAACTATCATTTTCAATTACTTCATATTCAATATTTTGATCACTGGCAGCTTATTCATCACATCCAGCATCAAATGGCAGTGACATTTATATTTTATTGCGTATAGTAATTGCTCTGCAGTAAAGTATGGTGGCCGGGAAGTGCTAAACAAATCACAATTCTGAAAACAAAATAACAAATTACAAATGCAAATGCAAGTCTAAAGAACAAAATAACAATTCAGAAAACACAACAACAATTCAGAAAACATTATAACAAGTCTGAAAACACAACGACAAATCCGAAAACAAATGAACAAGTCAGAAAGCACAACGACAATTCAGACAAACCGGAAAAGGTAGGTATAGTTTGAGACAGCGCCATTGGTTTGGGATTACTCACCGCTGACTGGACGAGATATCTGTCAATCAACATATACAGGGAAGAACCAGCCAAAGAACAGCAGAGTCGTGGTTGAAAGTTCGAAGATGGTATTAAAGTAGCTCAGTTTAAATGTATTGTATGAATTGCCTTTACTATGGAATAAAAAATGTGGGGTGTCTATTTACATTTAGTTAAAAGGGGCTGTACTTCATCAGCTCCAGTGGCGTAGATAGGTAAGTGCATGTCGGTGGCTTTTTGACGCGATCGACCCGGGTTCGATCCCACCTTTTGCCGAACTTTTTTTTCCTCCCTTTTCAAATCTCGTATTAGCAATGGATTCTATTTACACTAAGTGAAAATAGCAGTATTTTTAGCAATATGCTATTTACACTAAGTGCAAATACCTATTTACACTGTTAAAATAGCAGGATTTCTACTATCAAGTTTACTACTTGTTGCAAATAGTGGCAATTATCTGCACTTCAGTATTGTAGTACATTATAAAACAGTATGCAATAATAACGTATTGAGTGTATATTATAATTTGAATTTTAATTATTAAATGGATGCCACCTTATTGGTACAATAAAGCCCTCCATACACCTAACCCTACCCGATACTTTATTTTCAACTTTTTGATTATTTCCTCAATTTTTATTGAAAATAAATGCCTTTACGATGTGATACGAGATTTGTAAAGGGAGCAAAAAAAAGTTTGGCAAAAGGTGGGATCGAACCCGGGTCAATCACGTCAAAAAGCCAACAACATTCACTTATCTATCTGCGCCACTGGAGCTCATGTTTTACAGCCAATTTTTTATTCCATAATTCATACAATACATTTAAACTGTCTATTTTAATACCATCTCCGAGCTTTCTACCACGACTCTGCTGTCCTTCGGCTGGTTCTTCCGGTATAAGTTGATTGACAGATATCTCGTCCAGTCAGCGGTAAGTAATCCCAAACCAATGGCGCTGTCTCAAACTATACCTACCTCTTCTGGTTTGTCTGATTTGTCGTTGTGTTTTCTGACTTGTTCATTTGTTTTCGGATTTGTCATTGTGTTTTCTGACTTGTTATAATGTTTTCTGAATTGTTATTGTGCTTTCTGAATTGTTATTTAGTTTTTTAGACTTGCATTTGCGTTTGTAATTTGTTATTTTGTTTTCAGAATTGTGATTTGTTTAGCACTTCTCGGCCACCGTAGTAAAGCCATTCAAACCACTTAAATTTTTGCTGATGATATTCATTTGTTTTATGCCTGCGGTAATTATGAGCGAAACGTCAGGTCATCATTGTTTATCAAACCGTGCTACCTTGAGGAAAAAAGATGCATTGCACATTGAGTCATCAGATATGTAAATATAGTTGCGCAGGAAAAAATACTTACACATTTACATACCTCTGGTCTCTAGCGACCCTATACACTTTTTACAAATAATTAATCAGAAAACAGGCATTCTTTTATATTTTACTATTTTGTTCTTGTTATGTTGTTTATAATTAATAGATTGAGGAATACTAAGAAAGTTGATGTCTAACTTAAAAAAATGAAGGAGGGAGAGGGTAGAGAATGATGTCCCGGGTCGCTAAAGACACGAGGTATGCATTTAAGGGTTAAAAGAGTAGGACATCTGGGTTACACTTTACTTGAAGGGGTGTGCATAAGACTGACATGACACCTTCATAATCATGACATGACACCTACATAATCAAGACATGACACATGTCATGGATATGAAGGTTTTTTATGCATGTTTATGACAACTGTCATTAAGTGTCATTCGTTCAGTTATGTAATTTTTAATGCAAAGATGACATTGTTTGAGATGTCTTTGTTATGGGCTATGGTTAGTAGCAAGGGTAGGGGTAGGGTTAGGTCAAATAATGTCATATTTGCATTAAAAATTACATAACTGAGCGAATGACACTTAATGACAGTTGTCATAAACATGCATAAAACCTCCTTCATATTCATGACATGTGTCATGTCATGATTATGAAGGTGTCATGTCAGTCTTATGCACACCCCTTCAAATAAAGTGTTACCGAGATCTGCAGACCCTGTCAGTAGCCTTCTCCTGCATAGACTTTGCTCCTGGAATGGTCAAAGCTATTTTGCACCCCAGATTGGACTACATTCCTTAGGTGTCTTTTGAGACCAACCAGCCGGTCATCCTACAACCATTCTTTCCTTCGCCTCATGAATCTCCAGAGCAAGAAATGCTCCACCTTTTATGCCCAGTCCGTGCCCTTAGGATCTACGTCCACTGCGGAACTAGATGTTACCATAGCGTTAATGGCATGACACAGCGTTGAGTTCCACTAGAAAGAAAATGTCTCAGGTTTAGGGTTGGGTATCGATTGGGTTTTTTACAATACCAGTGCCAAATCGATACTTTTAAAACGGTACCGGTGCATAAACGGTGCCTGAACCGATACTTTAAAAAAAGAGCCACAAAAAAACCAATGGATAACATAAAAGAACATTAAAAATATTGAAAATAGATATACATAGCATTCACATGCTCCTCGGATGCTCTCATTTCCAGAGTTGTGCTTCCCTTACTCTAAGGCTAATAAATGTATTTCACGATCTGGGTCATTATTTAATACAAAACAATAGTTAATACAAAACCACACATAATGTTTCTACTGTATCTCTGTCAATCACTCTGAGTGCTGAGTGACTGAGTGCTGCCTGTCACTGTCTTTAAACAGTTCTGTGAATGACTGTATGCCACATGCACTGTAATTTTCTAATGAAAATAGCAACATGATCGTTTTATAAAGTATGTGTTCATATGTGTTAAGGGCTAGATTTTCGCTGGAGGAAACGGCTGTGGTGAGGGGTGAACGCAGCGAAAACTTTACAGTAGATGGGAAACCGATTGCTCCCTCGTGACCTTTTGTACACTGTATTTATGACAAAGAACTGCACAGATACAGATATTATAACAATCTATCGATAAACACACACCTTGTGTCCTCTGTTTCTGTTTGAGTCCGCTCGCGCTGCACCGCCGCGGTCTGCGGATTGAAGAGCGTGCTGAAAGACGGGGAGGAGACGAAGTCTGCTGCCGTTTTCATATGAAATTTAAAGGGGACTGACTCTGAGGCGATCATGAATTTGTGTAAAGTTTATGGAGCTAATCGCTATAGCCCCGCTAAAAATGGCCTAGCGACACCCATGCTTCTTACTTCCATTTCGGAGAACCAGGACAAATATTTAAATCGATCGCTCAGGCATTTAAGTGGCACCGAAATGAGGCACCGAAATCTGTTCTGATTCGGTTCTAGTACATACCGGTTACACAGGTACCATATTGGCACCGGGTTTCGGTACCCAACCCTACTCAGGTTACATATAGATTATGGGGATTCCGTGACATAGGTGCCCTTTTATTGTCTCACTGATGCAAAGCATTTTGAAGTGTTCTTGTGCATTAAGACCAAAAATGTGTATTAAAGGGGTGATCAATCAGCTATTTTCGAAGGCTTGATTGTTTTTTATGGGGTGCACTGTAACATGTTCATGCTTCGTTTTTAAAAAATAACAATTTTTTCACATATTTACCTTTACTCTACCACAGTTTCTGTTCTCCTAAAAAGTTCTGTTGACTTCCTGGTTATATGAAGCCCCTCCCTTAGAAATTCGCAATGGGCTCAGATTGGTTAGCTAGCCCAGTGTGTTGTGATTCGCTAACCACCTAGTGCACGTTGTCCGGATATGTCACGCCACTTACCATTACGGGTAGTTGCATGTGCATCATCGCATCACCCCATTTGTTGCGTGTTCACAGGGGCAGGGTTTATGTAAATTTTAGGGTTTGTTATGTCACAAAAGCATAGTCCCTACTCCCTCCCAACTGTTTGTTGTTACAATTTCAGATATTTTATATTTAAACAACATCAGTCGTTTAATATTTACTATAATGTGTAAATACTACTCTGATCTACCCCACATTGTTTGAACTCCATAAGATCAATACGTTTATTAGACTTTTATTTCTCTGTTGGACAGGAATCAAAAACTCTTCCAGGCAGAGTGGAGACAGAGCTGAGGATTTATCGCTCTCATTCTCTCTGTTTACCAGCATCAATTAATTCCCACAGTTCAGCCAGTCTCACGTTCATCCATTTACAGTCAGCCGGTGTACCTCCAGGGCTGACTGAGGAGTCTGGCTTTTTAAAACTTTGCTTTATGGAACTGAAAGTGCTGACTGCTATCCAGATGTATGTGTGCGAAGTCTCCGCCAAAGCCTGAAGCCTCACCTCCAGCTCCTCATTCTGGCTCTGTCTCCACTATAGGACTCTATACTGTCTTTTCATGCTTTTCCTTTTTCCAGGAAGGGCTAATAGTTTTTCCACTCAGTCATTTTTAAAAGCAGCCTTTTCCAAAGGTGTTAAAATACAAATTTTCTAAGCTTGTGTTCTCATAACATCAACTCACCCAATCATTTTGCAATGTCTGGTGCATGTATTTAATTAATGGGAGGGTTTTTGCCATATGCAAAGAGAATTCAGAGGGCAAGTCCAGAAAAAAAGTTAAGAAATGACAGGTGGAATCCTTATTGTTGATAAATACAACTCTAAACCTCAAAGAGTACAGGACAAAGAGCACACAGGAGTTCCTCTCCTGATCTAACACTGTAGATCCTGTACTGTAATGTCATACAAACATGTTATTTTTCTCCATTTGATATTGGACCCTGACTTCAATCTTGTATGTGAGACTGTGTTGCTACACTGATGGCACACATAAATCCAATAATTAGACAACAATGCTATTTCTGTTATTCTTATGTTGTAGTATTACTGTGAGAGAAATTATATACTAGGGACAGCTTTACTAAAGTTGGTCACTTTCTTTTACTTGCTTGTTACAAATACACAACCAACTGAGATGATTTATTGATTTTACAGTAGCGGAAATATTCAGCGAGGACATCAGTCAATCAAGAGACAAAATGGATATGAAGAAGACCCAGAGATTACTGCTCAGATTCAGCTTACCCTGGCCGATCTAGATGGAAATCTCGCAGGTAAATTACTCTTAAATGAAGTTATTGATGAAGTTTTAACCACTTAGCTGTGCTTTCTCATGAATACTTTAAAGGGTCATGATACCTTTAGTTTTGTTAGCTCACTGTACATTACACTAATACACACGTCCTGTGATGTATAAGGCACGTATCATGTGACACATTTATATAAGCAGTTTGATGGGTTTGATCAAGTCTAAAGACCAGTTACGCTTACAGTGTGGATGAATTACATTTGTGTCAGACTCTGTATATGAAAGAGAATTTATGAAATGCAGAAACTTACAAATCAGAAACAAACACTTTCGATCCATAACACGTCTCTCAATTACTATGTGATTGTACGGTTTAAAGCAGGGGTGCCCAAACTCGGTCCTGGAGGGCCAGTGACCTGCAGAGGTTAGCTCCAACCCCAATTAGACACACCTGAACCAGTTAATCAAGCTCGTTCTAGGCATACTAGAAACTTCCTGGCAGGTGTGTTGAGGCAAGTTGGAGCTAGACTCTGCAGGACATCGGCCCTCCAGGACCGAGTTTGGGCACCCCTGGTTTAAAGTGTCTGCTATAGGAAATCAACATGTGCTGTAGTGAATAATTATGACAAAGATGAGTCATCAATGTACTATAGGTATAAGAAAATGTCACATCCTGTGAACAACTCAAATGAACGGGTGCCAAATTTGTATTCTATTATCAACACACATAATTCTGTTCAAATTAATTTTAATGTTTCATGACCCTTTACAAATCTTTTACCAGTTATTCAACTTGCAAATTTCCAGGAAGTAATTTAAGTAAACATGTTTCCTGGCAGCTTAACTATCATACCATGAACAACGTTTGAAGCCCTATGACTAACTTACTCCATAATTGTTTTTTTTTTCTGCCTATTAGACATTAATCACTCAGAAGGAACATCTGTGTTTGTGGATGATGAAATACCTGTGTCCATTGTTGACATGGACATTCCAGTGACAACCATTGATGAAGTTCTTGATAATGACCGGTGCAGCTCGAGTGAGTGCGAAGCAGCATTGTTACACAGCTCTCAAAACATCATCAGCCAATTGTGTGCACCAAGTGAAGCTATCGAAAACAAAAACAACAATGCCTGCGGGACAGAAGAGAAACAGTCTGTCCCCGAAAGAAGTCCATCCCCAGACATAAAGAAGCAGTCACAAGAGACTACACTCACAGTTATTGAGAAAACCATGAATCCATCTCCAACCAATGAGAAGCCATCACAAGATACTAAGCTTGTGGAACAAAAGCGGGACAATATGGAACAGAAAGCAGTCTTTAACTCTGAGACTAAGAGTAAAGTTGTAACTGAAGAATTGAAAAGTCAGAAAGACAAAGTATCACGGAAGTCCCAAAATTTAGTGCGTCCTGCTGTTCAAAGCGTTCAAAAGGTTCCTGACGAGAGACTGACGATGGCACCTATGGTTCAGAGGTTCAGTACAGAGACTGCTTATGAAGAAAGGACACCTATTACCAGAGTCCCAACAACTCAGGGTAAGATCACCCAGAGTTCCTTCTCTCGCTTTGGAATGAAAACCTTCACAGTCATCCCTCCCAAACCGACTGTGTCTCAGACCAAGCCTACAGGCTCTCTAGTCATAGGTGCCATTAAGATTGATGAACAGGGCAACATGGTTGCTCAGAGACAAATTTCCACTGGCCCAAAGAAAAATAGCAATCCCAGTGTTGAAGCTAGTACAGAAACATCCCCATTGGACAAAGCCAAAGCATTCTGGAGCACTGCAGAGAAGCAAGACCAATCAACTACGATCAACCAGGGACCCATAATAAACAATAGAGATACTGATGTGTTCAAACCCTCGATTGTGTCTGGAGTCTCTAAACTTTCAGTAGAAACACCTCCTGAAGAAATACACAAAGAGTTCATTATATTGGAAAGGAAGCCCATATCTGTAGTAGCAAGTAAGCCTTCATTCCCAGAGCCAGCAGAAAATCCCTCTTTAACAGCTGAAAGGCGAGATTTCTCTTTTCTTATACCCTCCAGAAGAACCTCCAGCCAATACTTAGCTTCTGCCATTGCTAAAAACAATAGCATTCCCAACACTAAAACAGATATCAAGCAGGCGCCATCAGAGTCCATTGTTGGTGTTCAAAAACCTGTAAATCAACAGTTTAATAGTGAGGTTAGACTTACAAACATACACAAACCTGCTACTGCTTTCAAACCCCCTGAAAATTCAGTGCCTTCTTTTGGACACCCTAAACACCTGCAAAGTTACTACCTCAGTCACGTTGCAGAAAAGCCAGCAAGTTCTGAGAGAATAAGCAGTGTTGAAAAAGGCACTCTGCATGGGGAAGACAGAACCAAATCTCTGGACTCGCATCCCTTAAATAACCAAATCCAGCCCTCTACACATATGTCTGCTCACATTAAACCCATGGAATCTTCCTCTGAAGAAGCCACATCAATCAATAAGTTCCCAGACACCTCTGCCAGACAGACGCCAACAGACACCACACGTCCACCACTTACAAAGAAGCCAGAGTTACACAAATCTGAGATTCCATCTGAACCAAACCAGGGTAAATTGTTTGGACAGGTTAAGAAGTTCAAGCCTGTTATTTTTAAACCTGTACAGAAGGAAACTTCTATCCATAGCTCGCTAATGGAGGCCATACAGTCTGGAGAGGGCATTGAACGGCTCAGAAAGGTAAACTGTGAATCACAGCATGAAAGTAAATGTATCAGGTTTTTGGAATATCTGTATGCATTAAAGCTGTCTAATGTCTTGCTTTTCACATTGTTTAGGTGTCTGACTTGTCTACTAAGAGCACAGTTAGAGAGCTGTCTAACAATGATGCAGACAATGAGCATTCAGCGCTTCTTTCAGCATTAAGAGCTCCGAGCAACTCTGCGAGACTGAAGAAGGTAAGCTAAATATTAGTGACACTCAAGGTGTGGTAGGGTTGAAAAGGGGCAGAACATTTCCGGAAGCTTTCCAAAAGTTTCAGAAAACTGCAAAAAGTTTTTTTAAAAGTCCTGAAAAGTTTCCTAAAATTCTGTAAAGTTTACAGAAATTGACTAGATATTTTCTGCCCCTTTTCAACCCTAAGGTGTGGTCATATTAGTGAAATTTTGTGGGCAAAAAAAGATCCATTGTCAATAGTCAATGCAGGGAATTTGCATAATCTTGAACCTGATTCTTATTGAAATAATTGAGTTATCAGGGTTTTTTTGTTTGTTTTTTTGCACAGCAACAGTAAGTGTGAGTGATTAACAATGTGACACGTTTACACTAAGACTTACAGTTACCTTTGCACTGTGAGATTCTGCAGGCAAAAAAGGATAGGCTGGATGTTAAGTGCAAGCAGGTCTTTTTTTATGTAGCACTCTATATTCTTGAACAGTGCCATTATAAAGAAGTGGCTGAGTAGTACTAGTCACTGCTTGAATGCCTCATTCATGCTAAGTGAATGGCCACAGAAATGTCACTGGCAAGTCAACCAACTTCTATTGGTCAGTGCTGCAAATTCACATGTCATAGTGCATCAAACTTTAACCAATTGTTTTGGAAAACTGTTAAAAAGAATGTTGTTTGTTCATTAAAAAAAAAAAAAAAGAAACCAAAAAAAATCATTCACATGCAGCCTAGTTGTGATTAAGTTAACTATAAATGCCACGTCATTGTTGTACTTCTAGACCATATCAGGAGCAGCTAAGGAGTTGGAGCAGCTCAGGAAGCTTGAGGAAGACAGAAATGTCCAGAGAGATGATATCTCACCTCCTCCCACTTCTTCTCCTGCTTTTGTGCCACCCCCACCTCCAGCCTTTGGTCCTCCCCCACCTCCACCTTTAGCTCCATTCAAGCCCCCTCTAGTGCTGCCTGCTGGAGGAAACCCAGAGGCGGCCCGAGAGGCTCTTCTGGAGGCCATTCGCTCAGGCTCTGGGGCTCAACGACTGAGGAAGGTAAGAGGCTCAGTACAGCTCTAGCTTGTGTCAAAGAATCCTTATGGGGGGAAAAAATAGATTTTAGATACATTTACTACTACTACAAAAAAACTGCAGCTTAATGATTTTTTTTTTTTTATTATTCATTTCTGTGACAGTTGGTAATACCAAAGACAGTAACACCAAATACCATCATACAGATTGCATTTAAAATATTTATTTCTTGAATGAAAGACAAAAACATTACAACTTAAGACTTTCAATTACACAGGTCCCTGTCACACAGACAAGACGGCAAGTGAATGGAAGACTTGGAACCATCCAGGCAACATCACCGCTTTCTTATGGACACTAGAAACCTTCACTGGATCACCGTTTGGGTTTACCCATCGCCAAATCTGGTGTTTAAGCATTTGTGCTAATGCTGTTGCAGATAATGCTAACACAATATTCACAGCCTTCTTTATTTATAGTGATATGCTGCTTCACATCAGTGCCAATACTAATTTGCCTAGTTTCAGGCATTTTATGTCCTACTGACATTCTAATGATGGCATTGAAGTTATTTGCTAATGCTGCTTTGAGGTGTTTTTTTTTTTCAGATGTCTGCCTGACTTCTATATCTCTATCAGTATTATACCTGAATATATTATGCAGGTATTTGCTGTTGCATCACAGTATAGGTGGTGGGCTGCAATTGAATCCACCTGCCAATCACAGCAGTCTGTTTTTTGATTTTTTTCTTTTTTAAAGGAACACTAAGTGGTAAAATGGAAAACACTGATTTTTATTTAATCATTATTATAAAGGTGTTTCTCTAAATGTTTTGTTATTTTCCAAATATATACATATTGATAATTAGATCACAAACTATTTTCATTAGAAAAGTGGACTAGAAAAGTATGTATCGACAAAGAACCCTTCTTGACACTCTTTGAAGCATTGTGCAGTAGATACAGATGCTGTATATTTGACCAACACTAATGCACTTTCTCTAAGACTAATTATTTTGAAAACTCTTACAGATTATTTTGAAAGCCTTATAGATACTGTATGATTGGACATAATGTAATCAATTCCTTTTTATCAGTCTGCTGAATAACTGTGATCTAGAGCTGTCATGGTAATTCAGCTTTAATTTATTCCATTGGGAAAATCATACACTACTATAATTAGAATAAATTGTTTAATATATTTACACAAGTTGTAAATGTATTTATGTTGTTGCAATTTAGCATTAGAGACTATATGACTGTATGATTGTACAGTGGTAATCTTATTGAATAAATTACTTATTCAATAAGTCAACAGGTGAATATTTTGTAAAAAATATATCTGACACTAATATAGCAAGTTTCAAATCTGACACTAAAGCATTAGTGTAAGGAAAATATTTTTAAATAATGCTTTTGTAATGTTTTTATTTTGAATGCAGCACAAACTGAATCAAACTTGTAAATCAATTAAACAATATTTTACAGTCTTTCCGTTTACATTGCTTGCAGAGTTATTTTGAGAAATGACAAATTGTATGCATACACAAAAGAAATGGCTGCAGGACTTTTTACAATTTTATAAACAGATTAATAATGTTGTCTGGATCTCATGTTATTGTTTTAGTCTGGTCTGCTTCGGCTTAGGTCTACCTGACTTGAGGCTGAGGGAAGCAAAAACTGTCAGGTTTGGATCAGTCTTTCATGGTCTTGTTAGGGATTCAACTTAATACCCACACAGACCTCTATCAAAAGCCATACATAAAGTAACAGTTATGAGGTTTCTGTATACCGTAACAGTTATGAGGTTACTGTATACCAAAGGTACAGACTTCTTTACTGGCAATGATGGATGACCACATTTGTGAACTCTCTCATGATTTGTAAGTCTGTTTCTTGTCATTGGAATTAATTATGGTTTTATAAAATCCAGCAAGCTATTAATAGACCTTTATTTACAGTCAACCCATGACAGACAGACTCTCCAGTGTTATCATTTGCAGTTTCTCTTAATCCGCATCATAAAAAGTGTTATCCATTATGCAAGCGTTTTTTTGACTTGTATGCCTGACAAACTGCAATTTAGACCCACTAATTTGTTAGTTTCTAAGTGCATATATTTAATAGTCTATTTATTTTGGGTGAATGCAAAAGTCCCCTTTCAAAAATATTCCTTGTATCCAAGAGAGGCCTGTTGATATGCACTACCATGCCTCATTCGGCATCATAAACCATCCTCTCTTTCCTATATTAATGTGTTATTACATATTTTGGCAGAGCCCATGTGCTCTGAGGGTTGTGGGCTGGGGGTTAGAGCACTGTCTGTCTCTGGGCAGGCTCCTCCTCACCCTGATGGGGTAATCCCCTCTATGGTGGATGGCAGTAAATTCTTTCCCTCCCACAATCCCTCTGTTGGTCAGATTTCCGGCTCGTTTGTGGCCAATCTGATATGTGTTACGAAACTGCAAAATTACTGTTTGCTTCCAAACCGGGGAAGCCATTAGTATAGGAAAACAAACTGGTTGTTTGGTTGAGTAACTAAACTTAAAAGGTCAACATATTTGAGTTACAATCGAATAGGACACAGATCAGCTATAACTAAATCTGCTATACGGCTAAGCAGTTATTTGTATATAATCTTCTTTTAAAATGAGCTTTCATCTGTTAAAACAGTTGTGTGTTGCCCTAAAGCAATGTTTCCCAAATGGGGGTTCATGAGGGAACTGCAGGGGGTTTGTAAGATGATGAAACGCTTAATAATTATAATTATATTAAATATAAAATAAAAAATAACAGTGCTTTTCATTATTATTATCAAATATTTATTTTATATATGTTAAAACAGTTAAGACATACTACTATGTCTACTATTATAATCGACATCAGAGCACCATAAACATACAAAAGTGTTGCTAAATGATTTAAAATACTAACTTAAAATCTCAAGTAAACATTTTACATCTAAGGGGTTCAGCTGATTAAAAAAAGTTTGGGAACTCCTGCCCTCAAGAACATCTTGGAAGTAAACAAGGTGGAAGGATGAGATGTGTAGTTCCAAAAGTGGGTTTGGACAGCAATGCCGTTTTTACTTTCCTAAAAGAACCTTTTTGTTTAGCATGCATGTAGAACAATCTGAAGAACCTTTTTCCTCTACAAAGCATCTTTAGTGCAATGGAAAGGTTCTTTATGGAACCCTTGATGCCAACAAAGAGCTTTCATTTGTAAGAGTAGATGCTAGAATCATAGAGAAGTCAGTAGTCTCACATACAAAGGCTTGACACATCACAGATGTTTAAATGCATTTATAAAATATTTCTGACAGTAAACTTATATTTGGTTGAATAAAAGGCCAACATACACATTATGAAATTTCAGGCCGTCTGTATGGTAGTCTACTCTTAAAACTTGGCATACATACAAAATAAAACTGTATAATTTTACTCTTGCAGGAAATGATGATGCTTGTTGCAATCCCATGTTGTGTCTCATTGTATGCCTACTTCTGTAGGAAGAAGTAGCATTAGCTAAGGCAGTAGCAAGTATCAAATCGTAGTACATGACTGTGATGTAAAGCAGAGGGACAAGCATGCCCCAATATCCAATTTCATAAATACATGCACTCGTCAACTCCTTTTATAGGGTCCTTAAAAATAAAGCTAATTAGAACCAGGGGCGTGTCTAGAGGGGGGGGGGGGGTTGGATGTATGTTAAAAGCACACGTCCAGTTTTGTGTGAGTGAAGGAAATCCACTTGGGAGTGGAGAGATTCATCCTCGTGCACATGGATCGCGTAACATTATGCGCTCTCGACATTGTCATTAAGATCACACTATAGAAACTGCCTAAAATTAGAAATGTACTAAAAACAAGCCTATGGCAAGACATTTGGTAGGGGGGGCCAGCCAAATTTCAGGGGGGGCCGGTGCCACCCCTGGCCACCACGTAGACACGCCCCTGATTAGAACCAAACAGCATCTTACACCATGATGCCATAGAACATTTTTCCACAAAACCACCTTCATCTCCAGCTCCACAGAAAGCAATCATTATCCTGTGGATTTGAAGAACCGAACACAATACACTGATCTGAAGAACATGATTTCTTAAGAATCATCAAATAAACAAAAGTTATGCAGAACTTTTATTTATGAGTGTATAACAATTTCCAGCTAAAACCTTGGGACTCTGAATGAGTTCTACAGTGTCCTTGTTTTATGTGTATTAGGCTACATATGAATTCCAAATTCAGAGCTATTAGATATTTGATTTAAAGGGTTAGTTCACCCAAAAATGAAAATCCTGTCATTAATTACTCACCATCATGTCGTTCCAAACCCGTATGACCTTCGTTCATCTTCAAAACACAAATATTTTTGAACGACATGAGGGTGAGTAATTAATGACACAATTTTCATTTTTGGGTGAACTAACCCTTTAATAGCTACTCTTATCATTCTCATGCCATCAGCCTGTTCAAAAGTATCTTCTTACCTAGGAGACACAACAACAAAAAGAAACTGATAAAATCTGCAAGACAAGACTTCTGTGTGCTTCAATGGGCAAAATAAAATGGGGTATAATTTTCTTTGATTTCTCATGCACTTGCACTTCTGTGTTTTATCTTTCTCAAAAAAAGACTACTGACTATAGCCCTAAATGAATGACTTTGATAACTGCTCAGTATTAAACCAGTGAACAAAATCTCTTTAGCCCTGAGGCGGCTCCTTTAACAAGACTGCAAGTAACGATTGCGCATTCTGCATGGCTAAAAAGTGAAATCATACTCACAATATCATGCACAGCTTGGTCAATATAACTGTTCAATCTTTAGATAATGTTTTGAGCTTTTTATGAGGTTTTTAATAGCATATCATGCAGACCCAGCTCAGAGTTTGGGTTACGAATCCGACGCTCTAACCATTAGGCCACGACGTCCCTCTGCTCACTCTCAGCAGACTATTCCCCTTTAAACTCATTTGGAAAAAGCTCTAGACAATTAACATTTTGGACTACGTATACCCTCTGTGTTGTTCCAGGGAAGGACAGGATGGGAATCTCACTGGCATGCCGCCAATAAGAGAATCCAAAGTTTTTCATATTAGAAATTAACAAAGATGTCAACATTCAAGTCTAAGTAATATTCTCCAAATTAGTAAAAAATATTGTATATATATGTTATATGTGTAACACATAAAATATACGTGTTGTTTTACGATATTTTATCCAGTATGTTAAGACATGATTGGAACGTATTAATTTACTGCATTTTAAACTGACTATTTTATTGTTTTAATTCTAGTACACTATATATTTTAAATAGACAGTCATTCTTGAGAAGTGGGACAAAACAGGGGGCAAAATTGAAAAAATAAAACCTTGTACTCAGACAAATGAAACTAAATGTATGCATCTTATATGTACTAAGCTACTGAGCTATGCTTTGATACAACCTCCCAACATTTCTCTTTTTTAACAAAATGTACTTTTTTTTTAGCTTGGACTGTAATATAATTTCAGCTTTATCTTTAACAGCATTCAAGATGATTTTAACATTTCAAAACACATTCACGTGTTAGCAGACAGATTACACTTTCACATGTGACCAATAATTCCACAACAAATATAAAATATAATGAAATATTATCAAAATATTCAACTGATGGAGGTGACAGAACTGACGGAGTTGACACAACTGACGTAGATGACATCTGACGGAGGTAACAACTGACGTAGTTGACATCTGACGGAGGTGACAGAACTGACGTAGTTGTTCTGACGGAGGTGACAGAACTGACGGAGTTGACACATCTGACGGAGGTGACAGAGCTGACGGAGTTGACACATCTGACGTCTGTTGCCTCTTTATCACAATATAAATGTGACATGCAAGAACAACGCACCACCGAAAACAGAAAATAGCAGCAGAAGATCCTAGTAACTAGATAAGTCTGACATGTACAATGTGAACATTAAGGGGAGTGATGCAAGCATTGTACAATAAACTGTACAATAAAAGCTGTTCATTGGTTAACTGCATGCAATGACCTTAGTAAATGTGTAATACTTTTATGCATATTTAGCCATGTAATGTATGTATTTTTGTGATAAAACATTGCACTAAAATTATGTTTTAAAATGTATGAAATCACTTGCCCCTCCCTGTATGAACAATACACCATATGTTTTTATCATTGCATTTTACAGTGACAAAGAGATATTTATGTATCCTAACATAATTTAATTGTATTGTAATTCCAAATTCATTTAATCACATATACAGTACATTTAGAAAGTGGAAAATATGTAGTCACCAAAATTTAATCCTCTAATACTTTGGAATCCACAGCTGCTAGTTTCTATCATAAATGTAACAAAAATACAGTAGGCCTAGTTGTGTTTGTATAATGACATACATCTTCCAGAGGGCCAATCTGGAAATAAAGAGATAGTTCACCCAAAAATGAAAATAATTTACTCACCCTCATGTCATTCCAAAACTGTGTGACTTTCTTTCTGCTGTGGAGCATAAAAGAAAATATTTTGAAAAATATCTTAGTGATTTTTTTTCATCCATACAATACAAATCAATGGACACCAAATTGG